ATTTATTATGGATATTTAAAGAGTTTACTTTTCAAGATACATAAATAATAACTGTAAAATGCGGGTCCACACTCAGTGTAAACAAAGAATTCTGCTGAATCGACCAGAAACCAAGTACAATTAGRCTGACCATACTCATGGCCGGTAAGTTTAAACAAACACTCCTGGGTAGTTGGTACTTGGTCACAAATATTGCTTACAAATTTTTTGTTTAACGACACTCGTACTGTTTGTTTGTTTATTTACTTATTAATTTATTTATATTTATTTTTTATTTCCAATATTTTTGGTCAATCATAGCACGGGAACGACTGCACCGATCAATGTGAAATTTGGTAGGAAGATGTGTCTGACCTACACTGCACCAGCCAACGGTTTTAAGATAGACCCCATATTTGGAGAGGGGGCTCCATTTGAAAAGAAGGGTGTTTGGACATACAAAAATGCTTATAACTCAAAAACTATTCAACATAGGGGCTTCAGATTTTTTTCTTTTTTTTCTGTCGATTAGCTCTGATGAAGGACTATCCATGGGGCCCACCAATGAGCCCCAACCAAACTTCTGCGTTCTGGTGTATTGATGCTTTGCGTTTGTGCGGGGGTCATTTATGCTACTGCTATGCTGTATCTAGTTAATTATATAGTGCAAATTTATGTTGTCTTCTTATAATTAACTTTGTTTTTTGTTTGATTAGTGTTAATGAATTTGTAACAAGTACCTTTAAATCTTTACTGGCAACTAATGTGGCTAACGTATCTTAGTTAAAAATAATCCAACAAGAAAAAGGACCGGACTGTTGTTATTTTTTAACAAATCCATTCAGGCAACAGTTAGGAAAAAAAAAGAACAAAAGTCACCAACTATCTTCAAAGGAACACAAAGTTCTTCACAAAAGTAACAGAAAACCATGTGGAAGTTGTTTCAAATCTGAACTGGTTAGAAAATAATGATAAAAACTAAATAGACTTATCTKAGTAGCTGTCAAGAACAGGCTGCAATGCTTTGAAACATAAAATAATATTAATAAAAAAGGTTTTGAACACAATAAAAAGTTGGTTTCAAAATGGAAGCTGTGTCAGATTGTATATTTCATAATAACCACATAAGCTTTAATATATTATTTATGCTGGGATAACCTAGAAAATAAAGTCATTCCTGTCTGATGTTTTTTTTTTTTGTTTAAAGAAAAGTTTGAAGTATAAGGCATGCTCACAAATATCAAATATATTTCAATTGAAGTGTTCTAGCCTTAGATGTACGAAGGCTCTTTGGGTTAGTCGGCCTACCTATATGTA